TCTTCAAGGCGTTCTTTCATATTACGTCGACGGGTCTGTCGCAGGCGAGATGATACTCGTTTGCCTGTATCAGAGGCAGAAGACTGTTCAGACCATTCGCGATCACGTTGCTTTCGGCCCCTCTGCGCACCTCTTCTCAGAGGGCGGCGTTGGCGGCGTTTGGTTGGAGGATCATCTTCATCTTCATCCTCATCACTGGACTCTTCTGAGTCCTCAATCTCTTCACGGCGGCTTTGATAGTCGTCTTCATCTTCTTCATCATCACTGCGGAAGAAATTATTGTATGAGACTAACGGCGCGCGTCGTTGGCGGTTTCGTGCAATTCCCCAATCCATATCTGAATCATAGTCCGCAGGACCATCTCCACCCGCGTAAATGAGATGTGGGATAGGGGAGTGGTCCATTGCGAGGGGGTCAGGGCTCTGTGAGTCACGATTGAATTCACGCAAAGCCTTTCGTCCGTTCTTGAGGCTTTTCAAGTCTTTGGTGGTCATCTAGTGAAAGTCATGGTCAGTTGGACGGTGCTTAAGATTGATTGATTACTTGTGTTCGCTTACAGTTTGAACTTCACCACTTTTGAGTCTCACAATGAGCTTTGGCTCATGCATGTCAACTGCAAGAATGCGATGAACCTCAAAGTGACCGGGCAAATACTCATAGTCATCAGGGTTGTTAACCACTGGGACGATGATCTCAAAAGACATTGTTGATTCTTTTGAGTTTCCAGTGATCTGTTGCACTGACTGGAGGGCATTTTCAGAATCCTCAGGTGGGATGGTGGGAGGAGTACAAGAGGGAGCGCTCTGGAACTGTGCTAGCAATTGTGCAGCCACCGCATCAGCATCATCAGAGCCATCAGAGCCTGGAGAATTGTCTCTAGATTGAGACATGGTGATTTTCCGATTGGACCAAGAATCAGGAAATGAAGATGGCGTAGGAACCGCACATGCGGCTCCTACAAAGAGAAAAGAAAAGTCAAGTGAACTGAAGCTAAGCAGTGAATGGGTATTTGATCGATGATAGGATTGCAGATCCCAATGTGGAAAAAAAAAGCAAACTTTGAGTGGACTGGATGCTCAAAGGAAAGATGAATTCAAATTGATAAAGAACGCAACGAATGAATGGATGAAGAAGAGGAGTGAGAGAAGAAAACAAAGTCGAAGTCGAGAAGACTAAGTGGGAAGATTAAGTGGCATACACGAGAAGTTCGCGTTGCGCGTCTGGATCCGATAACGATAGGTACGGCAGCGGGTATATACCGATCGTGCAATTCGATGTCGAAGTTCTCCAAAGCCGCACGGACGAAACTGCAAAGACCGGAACTTCGTCGCGATGCTCAGTACTATCTCAAGAACGGGCTTGAATGGTCTTTCTAGAGTGATCAGCTCCTCGCATTCTACGGTCTTGGCGATTCGGCATGCATCATTGAATTCAGCAATTGGCGAGGGCATTCGCAGATCTCAGACCGCAGACAGAGATAATCGGCGCGGCAACGACACTCGTTTTCCTAAACGCGAACGAGAATACGAGGGGAAATACGGAGCGCGACAATACGAGAGATCAGGCGAATCTAATCTCGCTGACCGTCAAATTAACGGATCCCGACAGTACGGGCAGCAAAAATACGAGAGATCAGACCAAACCAATTTCAATGATCGTCGAACATATGGAGCACGACAGTATGGCGAACAGAAGCCTGAGAGATCGGGATTTAACTCCGGTGTTCGTCGAAGCTATGGCCAAGGTGAGCGAGAATACGGAGCAAAAAAGCCCTGGACATCAGACGGTGTAGGTCGTAAAGACTATAACCGCCGACAATCGCCATGGAACGAGAACTCTCAATCACCACGAGAAAGCCGAAAAGAAGAAAAGTTTGAGTTCGACGAGGATGAGTTCATTCGTTCTGGTGATTTCCGAGGACTCCCTCGTGAACATCAATCTCGATTCCAATCACGATTCCAATCGCGAACACAAGACAGTCCATTCGCACAATCGGGACGAGAAAGACCTTCGATGGATGAACCACGGGAGAAAGAGCCAGCAAGACCTAGAGCTCACCGAGTCACGCGCAGCATGCCAGAGCGGGTGAAGGAGAACGTCAAAGTGCCCGATACAATCCCCTACACCACACCAGCATCTGAGTTCATTTACGGCACCAGTGCGGTAGAGGCGGCGCTGCGCTGCAGTCGGCGTCAACTATACAAGCTCTATATCTATCAGAGCACGGAGGAAGAGCTAAGTGCAGCAAAGGTCACAATCCGCAAACTAGCATTGTCAAAGAACATTGCAGTAAAAATGGCATTTGCAGGGTGGGATCGGCTTATGGACAAGATGAGTGCTGGACGACCTCACAATGGGTGCATTCTGGAGGCATCTCCTTTACCAAAATTACCAGTGCGTGGCCTCCTGGCTGTTCCATCTATCTCCGAGGAATATTTCCGGACGGAGCTTGCACCACAAACCCGGGAGGAAGCTGCGGTAAATGGCACGGATGATCGTATCCAGATCCATCATCCTTCTCCGTCCCCGCATGAAGCCGAACAACGCCATAGATACCCAATTGTCTTGCTATTGGATGGAGTGGTTGATACCGGTAATATGGGCGCTATCATCCGCTCATCATATTTCCTCGGTGTCGATGCAATCGTTCTGGCTGGTCGCAACTCCGCACCAATGTCTCCTATCACAATCAAATGTTCTGCGGGTGCAGCAGAAAACATGCCTATTCTTCATGTGACCAATGAAGTTGATTTTATCCAGCGATCCCAGCAAAACGGGTGGCGATTCTACGCTGCAGATGCACCACTTCCTGGCTCTGTGCACTTGGATCATATCTCGGCCGATGGTGATCAAAGCGGGGCCAAATTGCCCTCCACTACTGGGCCTAGTGTCATAATGATGGGCAGTGAGGCTACTGGATTGAGCTCGCATATCAAGTCACATGCAGATGCAATCATCAGTATTCCCGGCGCCCGGCAAAGTTCTATTCTCGGCGTTGAATCGGATCCGGCCCGCATCGACAGTCTGAATGTGAGTGTCGCCGCCGCGCTATTGATGGAGAAGTTCCTGCGAACCCCCATGACTGTCGGTGAGATCGTCAAGAAGGAAAAGAAGGAGAAAATGTGGTGATTTTACTGTAATAACTATGTATTCTAGCATTTACACTGCATCTTTGTACAATAGCACATAATTGGAGTTTTTGATTTGAGTCTTTGTTCGAGTCTGTTTTGAATTAGGGTTAACCACACCAGCTTGAGGAACCGACTCATGTTTTCTATTCGTGAATCGTAGCATGTTTCTCATATAGCGGCAAGTGCATTCTGTAGTAATTTATCTTCCTTGGCTCACAATAAATATATCTCCAGACTCCAGTAATTCACAGTCCGTTTACACATAGAATATGGGGACCTGTGAAATCGACGCCGAAAATGACAGCTTTCGACGCCAGAAACGGCCTTCTTTCCACCCGTAACATTTGCAGGGGAGCTAGCGCTTCACCGCCCCCTGTCCAGCACCATCACTATTTTGCACCCACCTAGCGTCTTTAGTCATCATCAACCGGCTCTTATGTTTGGAACTTGTTCGACATTCATTCCCTTAGATTCCACTTGCGACCGAAACGACGCCGAAAATGGCTTCCCTCTTTAGTCCCATCCAGGGTCCCTCCCTCCTCGCCCTGCCTGGCTGGGCGCCTATAAGATGCTCGTTCCCCCCCCCTCTATCAATGTCCTCAAAGTTCCTCAATTCTCTTCTCATCTGTTACTCCCGACTCCCAAATCGACCTCGCGAACCTTGCTGCTCGTGTTACCAGATTCCACTCCTGGTCATTCATCTTTACTTTCCCAAATGGTAGGTTCACTCGTTCGGTCGGCTCAGAGTGAGGAGCACCAATACTGGACTGATCCCATCCTTTACGAGGAAACTCGAGCCAGACTGGAACATTTCCGTCGTTCTAGATGGCTTCCTCCAAACTTTAAACCAAGGACCTTACTAGGTATTGCTGTTGTCGAACGCTACTGGCGAAAGTGAGTGTGGATATCTCCAGGATCAGGTACCGTGGATAGGTTTAACTCACGAGAATAGATTTTCCATTCAGTCGGAGGCGGACTATGTAGACCATCTTCTACGGGAGGATCAAGTAATCTATATGAACTTTTTCGACTGGATATCCAGAATATCACGAGAGAAGACTCTACAGTCTTACGATAAGTATTGGCGCCGCCTTTACTAGTATTTTGAAATGTTTACTCGTCGCCGTGTCAATGAAGATGTCCGTAAGTAGATGCGACGAGTACGAGCATTTCTTCCCTGCTGTAGAGACGAGGCTGATGGTGGCATAGTTTCTAGATGGTCCCTTCCCGGCCAAGTGTAAGATTCTCTGACGAACGAAGAACAAGAATACCCTGGATATAGATGTCTTCTGTGTGATCTATCGTTATCACTAGGTCCATTCAAGGTTTTTTCGTTATGGAAATATAATTATTTAGTTTGCTACAGTGCAGCTATGGTCTGCTATTACTGGGACTCGCCCTGGTATCTTACTTCTACAAAACACCTCTTTACCTAGCAACCCCTCCCTTAGTAAACGTAAACGAGCCCACGCGTTTGAAAGTGATCTTCCGAAGTATATTTCATTGAAGGACCTTCTAGATTCTGTCTGCTACCGTGATATTGAGCTTTTTTATTTAAAAGATCCTTAAAGCAAACGTAACGTTCTCTATACTATCATAGAGTTTCCCAATCTCAAAGGTCGGCCAGAAGGCGCCGATAGGTAAGGGTACCACTATACCTTAAATTCATATATTATTGATCTGACGCCTATGTTTCTTTTTAGGACCAAGTTTTTTATATATGGTGACTACCAATTGGTATATTGCCCAATCGCTCAGATAGTCTCCTTCGCTTTCTATAATAGGGCTTTTATTAATACAGAACTTATACTAGAGCTAATTTAGAGGCTGCGAGTTCCTAAGTATACTTCGTCCCTTCCTTTTCGGTAGAAACCAGAAGTCCTAAACACTCCTATTCTTCGACGCTTTAAGTGTACTCCCTACGGCTACGAACTCTATAAGTCTTTATCGATAACTTATGAATCAAGTCGGCAAGCCCTTAAAGAGTTGGGCCGAGACACTAAATTTGAAGACGATATTGGGCATTATAACTTTCGCCGTTAGATAGTAAATGAAGTAAATCGTAAGTTATTATTGCGCCAAAATGAATATGCTATCATCATTAAGGCCAAGAAAACTTTGTGTTACCGATTGATGTTGACAAGCAGCTTCTAGGGAATTTCATAAGCTAGGAGCGGCAAAGGGTGCTTGGTCAGTCTGGCGACGCTGTCTTTGAAAAACATTATTAATCACAATTCATTGGACGCGATCTCCAGTATGTCGTTCTTCTTCGACTATCTTAGGAGGGCCTTATACGTTTCGCTGGAAGTATGCTCAGGAAAAGGGATGTTCACGCTCCGTATAAGCTTTCGAATATATATAAGCGTGCAATTTGCCAAAACCCGGATCTTCTGTAGTTAAGACGAGAGAAGAGAGAGCTCGGGGCAGAGATACGATCTCTGGCTGGCTCAATCAAAAAAGCTCGAGTTCCCTTTCCATACCTCTATCAAAAGCACGAAAATATCAATAAAGAAATAGCGAAACTTCGAAAGAGGCTAGCAACCGATACGCGAGAGGCAGCTAGGAAAGACCATTTCCAGAATGCGCCCGTACTTGAAATCGACAAATAGATAAAGCAACTCCTCGGCAATACTGATGAAGCTTCTAGTGAAGCTCCGGAAAATGAAGACTCTGGTGATGAAACCTGGGAACTGCCTACTCCAGAATATGTCTTTGCCGAGCGGGCACGCCTGGTAGAAAACTTTTACGGACCCGACGCAGAGAACTTCGACGAGGACAAGCTACTCGCTCGACGCACCCAGGTTACTAAGGATATGGTTGCGCTATTGCGGCTTTCCGAGCCGAGTAGGCGGGGTAATCGAGTCAATTGGAACATTGGCGATGAAGATGATGATTTGCTTGATCCGCCAAAGGAATCGCCTCTGCTCGAGGAAGACACTATGAATTGTCCAACCAATATATATATCATCTGCTGTGGTCTATCTCGCCAATCATCATTGAACCCTCCTCCGCATGAATTTCCTCCTGATCGACAGGATTCTCTTCGCCGCCACTTGATTGATACGCACCTGCAACATGCGCGCAACGGAATTAGCTGCAATTGGGAAACCTGTCGCGATGTCCCGCTGTTCAGCGACATCACCAAATTCCTGGCTCATGCTTCCACTGAACATTCGTATGATATCAAAATCAAATTGTGTCATCTCCCGCAGGCATCACAAACTAGCTGCAGCGACGTTTCATCCAGAGAAGCGTCTCCAGTGTCGGAGAATCGACAAAGGACTGAGACTCCCGCCTCCTCCGTCGACCTCGAGATGAAAAATATTGACCCACGCTTGTTGGAGGCACATTTCAATGTTATGGCGACACCGAACTTCCCATTCATCGCCGCACGCAGAAATATAGCGAATATAAGTCGACTCTACGACACTTTCGAGAGAAGCACTTGCAGGATCGAAGGTGTCATATGTGTGACGAAGATCTACTACATGAGATGCATCTTCGCAGGCATGCAGAAGAGGTTCATCGCCTCAGCACTGAACGGAATTACTACACCAAAGAAGATACGGGATCGGAAATTGATACCGATTAATTGGGAGGCTTTGCAGGTGTTCTGTCAGATTGAAGTACTCTATTTTGTCTATGCTTAAGAATAATCAACTTCGGATCCGGATAATATTTTCCGTGATAGTGCTCCATTTTCCAACTTCTTAACTGGAGATAAGTTCTGTTTGATATATGCTCGTCGCATTAGAAACCCCCTTATAGCAATGTTAGCCTTCCTATCTACAGCAGTATTCATGGACGTAAAAGAACAGACGTACAATACGATAGGTTTTGGAGATAACGACAGCGCCCGACACCGAAGAGTAGTAAGTATGTCTAGGTCCATAATATCAACAGGCTATTTAATGTTTCCCTTTTTACATTATTAAGAAGCGGTCTTTCTGGATTTGATAACTTACCTACTTTCTTCAGTATGTACACACGAGACAATAATAAATAACGAGCCTTGATGGCAGAAAATCTGAATCAGAAGGCTCGAGGGGTCGCAGTTTCAAACCGCCAAATCCCGTGTCCAATCAGCCTTCCGGAGAACCACAAGTTCCCCACTATCGTGTGGCCGAGGGTCTACTTGGGGTTCAAGGGATACTTTCAAGTTCGCGGTTTAGAACAAGCTCATTCAAAACCACTGTCCTGGTCTTCCAGTAGTCTTGCTGCCTGAGGCTTCACGAATTCTTATCTTTTATACACACGGTCATGGAGCCAGACCCATAAAACGATAGTCATGCTGTTGTCCGAGTGTGGCTGGGAATGTTTCCAAAAGGCTGGGACAGACTATGAATCAATTGATCGATCGATTGGCATGTGGTTTCATAGATCCCAGTCTACTTCCAGGAACGCAGCATCTATTCCCAGGAACGTAGCTGATGGTCCTGGAGATCCGTTAACTACTGGGAACTCATATGTTGGCCCTGGGAGTCTTTCCACCACAGCATATGTTTATTGCTACAGACGCGCTCGAAATCAGTCCTTTTACTCTCTTTGAATCTTTCCCGAACTTAATTCTGAAACACGCAAGTCTGTGTTAGGCTTGAAGCAATTTCCAAATTTTCGAAACGTATTGTAAGTCCAAGTCACATGATGGGCTACTGTGTAATCTATTGGAAATAATCATACGATTGATACCCTACCTCTCGACGCCGCTCAGGAGTCACCACCCCAATACTGACAACATTCCTTCTCGCGGAGGGTGTATAAATATATATTCCCGAGATTGCGCATTTACTACGGAAAATTTGCAGCAAACAGATAAAAATTATCCAGCTTGCGTCTTCGACAGAACGAGGAGCGTGAAGACGAAACGACGGGTCTTTCCTTCCTACTGCCCAGGTAAAATCGGAAACATCATTGAACCAAGCTTGCCTGCGGGCTCTGCGAAGGACCAATGCTCTCCATGCAAAGATCGTATTCAGAGCACCAACGGAGGACAAAGACTCATATTGCCGGATTCTAGACAACGAGGAGTTTCAACAATAGCAAGACAACTAGATGAACTGTCTCCTCTGGATCAGAGGTGATCCTGGCAAAGGCAAGACAATGCTCTTGTGCGGTATCATCGACGAGTTGACACGATTATTTGGGGACTCTGCGAATATCTCGTTCTTTTGTTGCCAAGTTACCGACGTACGACGGTTCACGCCTACTAGACTCGCGCACGAATTTGCGCCAATTGCTCAATCTCCTGATCACCTCAGTGAAAACTCTACTCGACACCTAGGCTTGTGGATCAGGGAAAGGGCAAAGCCTGAAACTTGGCCAGGGCGACCGCCGGCTCCGTTGTTTGGGGTCCAATTCCCATCATCATCAGGCTGTGCTCGTAGGGTTAATGAACATGCAGTATCTTACATTACAGTGATGATTAATTAGGCAAGATGTAGAAGATAACTTTGCGGACGTGATTGAGTTTCGTCTATTGCTGCTTGACACAATCTGGAATTCGGCCCAGGTTAACACACTGCTGTCGGTACTCATCTATGAGACTTTCAATGCGTTTGATTTCAGTCTTAAACCATTTGATAAGGCGTGGGTCATTAGATATGTGAATTGAACTCGCCGCCAGGTTGTATTAATATCTCATTTGCGTCAAAGTACTGAATGCGGTTTCTGGAAAGGAACGACCGAATTCGGCTGCGAAAAGAGGATCATAGCTCACTAGACGCGAGTGGCTTAGGTCTGTGAAGTGGTTTTTGATTTGCCTGACAGTGGCCTGTTTAACTGCAAGGTCAAACTGGCTTTTGCCCAGAGGAATGGCTAGGAGGACTGTATTATAAAGGCCGTGCTCCACTGATCGAATCTCCAATTGGATATGATCTAGGGCATGGCATCCGTTCGAGCCTTGAGTGCAAAGATCGCAACCCAGGGAGGTTTGGATACGCATGGTCTATATACTATATGTCAGTGTTACGGTGGTTCCAGAATGGCGAGGGATACTGACTGCTAAAGGCTCCATCTTCCTAGTGTCAGTCTTAGTTGACATTTCACCAAGTTCACTTTTACTTCGCGATAAATGGTTTCCCGGAAAGGAGGCCTTTCTTTTAAATGGTGGACAACCACCGCTCATCTACAAGACGACTAAGTCGAGAAGATGACGCTGCATCATCGCATGAACAGCCAATCTCTCAGCCAAAAGTATAATTCTGTCCCTTACGTATCCAGAGGCAACCGAGAAGTTTGGCCTTCTATTGTGCATGCTCTTGGCACTGGAGCGGGAGCGCACTGAGCCACAGACACGTCGAAGGCCCGGCAGAATGGAGTATAGTCGAAGGTCTAGATTATTAGCAAGCGACTTAATCTTGTTTTTATCGCTTGTTAGGGCCACTGTCTCATTGCTTGTGTATTCAATCGGCACTAACGTGGGTAAGGCGTTACCCAGAAACGGTATGTCTGATCGCCGTCGACCAACACGTATACGTTTAGGCATTACTTGAAGTTACTGTTAAATAGTTACCGAGGGTGATACTGAAAATTGCCCAATCAACGTCTGCCGGGTATAGTACTATTGATTGCAAATCCCAAAATGCAAGTAATCCCAGCCCCAGTCAACTTGCTTTCCACCCTGTCGACTCGCTTTCCACCCTGTCGACTCGCTTTCTGCCTAGTTTAGTTTCTGTCCACCTCGCCCGATGGCGGGAACAGAGGTTTTACTCACTGTATATGGAAGTCATAATCGGTGAACAGATGGTAATGAGGGTATTGATGATCTCACTTTACGTCTACTGCTAGTAGGGACCAATTTCGCCTCAAGATCAATTGTAGAGTGCGGATTTGCTTAAGAGGCCCGCTCGCCCCCTTGAATCCCTCCCTCGACCATTCTCCCGTCAAATCCTTGGTGTACGACTCATAGCCTTTACTGCCTCCCAACTCATATCACTTTGATATTCTCTTTTACGTGGGCATACCTTTATTAAGATGTCTCTATTCGCCAAGAATCATGGCTGACTATTTAAATAGATTCACTGCTGGCAAAATGGCAGCCTCTACCCTGAGCGAGCCGATCGATCAGCTCAATTGCGGCCACTGTGGTACGCATAACATGACTGGCTAACGACTTGCACTCACTGTGGCAAGGGCGTCGCATCGTCTGCGTGATCATGACAAGAGTATGTTCGCTCTGGGGAAACTGGGGCATGTGCACTAAGCGGCTTCCCTTCCTTAGTATTTATTTTCAAAGACTAACTCCTGTTCTGATAGGGTTGCTGCAGGTCTTTGCTTTATACTTGATAGTGTATATGCTAGCTTCCCAACGGAATATATTGGTCTTAACTTGAAAATTTCCTGCTCCAAACCGTGGGTGCGATCTTTAGCGCTGCGTATATCATAAATCTAGCTAGACTGTGTTTCACCTTCCATATCACCTGATGATAGCTTTATCTCCTTTACTTCCTTACCTCTTGTTTGGGGGCGGAGGGCGGGAGAGAAGGGGGCACAGAAAAACGTAGACGTATGCAAGGGCGATGCAAATTAACATGTAATCGAGCGTATTGCTTGCAAAATAGTTGGACTTTGATATCATTGTCTAGGAGCTGTCCTGAAACTTCCACCATGCATCCAGAACATCGCTATAGCCCATCTTTTCCAGATGCTGGGCGACCTTGCGGCGCCAGTCCTTTTTAGAGTCCTCATCCCCATAATCAAAATCCATTCCTGCAGATATTCGAAATTTTGTTCTGACCCATTCGATAGGGACATAGCCAGCAAGCTCCCAATCGATGATGCCTAGCGAGCCTGTCGAGACATCGACAAGAAGGTTCGTAGGACCAAGATCGCAATGATAGAAGACAAATGCAGAGACATCCATAGACATCTCAGTACAATTCTTCAGAAGCTGTTGTGGGGTAAGGGCATCCGCCATCTTGCTGTTGTCTTTGAGGAGATAACGCTCCAACAGCTGGTGTCCGTCCACACCACTGATGATGTCGCCTTTCCATGTTGCTAAACGATTGCAGACTTCTGCCACCTTGACGATATAATACTGGCGAGAGGTTTCGTCCATGTTGGGCCAAGCCTCATGAAGGAGCTGGCCGGGAACCCTCGAGACAACGAGGAAGTATCGCGAGTCAGTCTCGAAATGATAGAGTACATTCGGAAATTCAAAGCCCTGCGGCTGTTGATCTTTGAGAAATTGTAGAGTAACATGCTCTCTGGTTACATCGGGATATTCCATGTGATGCGCTTTGATAAAGGCTTCGCCTACCCTCCAAACGGCCGCCTGGTTGTCGACTGCGTGAACCCTCGAGATAGAAGATGAGTCTTCCGAGAGGGGCTTGGAATCAGGAAGAGGCTCAGGCGCAGTGGAGAGGGCGAAATGACCCCCATTGCTATCGCTCCAGCATGCTTGGTCGGTTGGAACATTGCCCAGGGGTGGTGACGAAGAACGGGTAAGAAGAAGCGTATTTGAGATTAGCCAGGAGCTTTTATCCACTACCCGAATCGACTCATTGAGGTGCAGCTGAGGCAGATTAGTCGGTGACATGTTGATTGATCTTGATGTCCAAGGAATGAATAAAGACAAATGTTAAGTGCCGTTCTTTATAACTGCCGCTGTGAGCGGTGAGCGGGGGTCCCAAGGAAAGTATCAAAAGTACAGCTCCTTGGCTAGCAGTAACACACTTTGACTGTATACGGCTAGCGGATAATAGTCTATGTAGCGGTACCAAGCCTGTAGATAATGATATCTTGCACTGTCAAATACGAAGTAATCTGTATTTTATGGACTATATTGGAAGTTACAGTACGGACTGGTACGGGCATAGCAAACTGAGTGCTTCATGGTGTAATTTTTAATACTCTAGAAGGTACGAATAAAAAGAGGTTCGGGGCTTAGGAAGTCGTTAAGACCCTGACGATCATGGTTGAGATCAGTCATATAAGCAAGTATGATGAATATTCCAGTTGCGATCCTCGTTTGTCGACAGACTGGACTACACCAAAACTCGCAACCCGTAAACCCGAAAACCCGAAATCTATTACCTGAATACTACTGTATATAAACAGGGACGCCGAGAAGAAGTGGAGCGATCTAACTCGCACGGGACTGCGCTCTTTTTGACGGCATTTGTGGTGTCGTCTCCTAGGACCAGTTGTGAAATGAATACTTAGGAACAGCTCATGGTGCACCGTTTTCTTTCACTATCACCCGACTGGGTTTTTCTGGGCTTTTCTGAGCGGTCCAGCCTACATTGCTTGCGGGAATTCAAGTTGCATGAGACAACGCGCCAGAACAAGGTCTATCCTTGGAGCTGTTGTCTTGTCCGCATTAGCGTGGGCGCTTACTAAAGGAAGACGACGCGTGCCAACCAGTGAAAATTAGTTCCCTCACTTGATGACCCTTCACGCCCACTCGGCTTTTATATTTTATATTTTAGAAGTTCAAGTGTGGTTTCCTGAATGTTGATCCACTTTTGAAGCGTGGAAAGCAAGTTGACGGGGGTGGGGTAAAGCGTTACCCAAAAACGGTATGTCTGATCGCCGTCGATCAACACGGATATGTTTAGGCATTACCCGAAGATACCGAAAATTGTCCAAATGTTCTATGGGTGTAGTACTATTGATTGCAAACCCCACCCTTAGTACCACAGTGCAAGTAGCTCAGCCCCAGCCAACTTGCTTTCCACCCTGTCAAGCTCGCTTCCCGCACCGTCAACATACTTTCCATCCTGTCGACTCACTTTCTGCCCAACTCACTTTCTGTACATTTCGCTCCATGGCGGCAGTGGAGGTTTTAATTTCTGTACATGGAAGTCATAAGCGGTGGACAAGCGGCTACGAGGGGATTGATAATCTCGCTTTACGCCGACTACTAGTGGAGATCAATTTCGCCGCAAGATCTATCGAGTTTGAACTTTCGGCGCGAGAGATTGAACCAAGCACGGGGAGTACCACCAATGGCACCTCGGAGGGCACACTGGTCAAGCCATCTTATCTTAAATCTCAAAGGGCAAAAGAAACAATCATACGTCGTGGAAACGAACTAAGGGGAATTTATGAGAAATTCCAGAACACTGCTAATAAGATCAAGAAAAATGGACTGTCTGATTTCGCCGTTGTTCCTGGGTCCCAAAGAGCACAGCTGTTCGTTACGATTCTCCACGATGTGATGGAAAATGCTGTCATCCCAAGCCATGATAACTGGTCTTCGAATACGCATAGTGCAATGCTATGGATGGTATTGGAACATGCCGGACCTGCTCATATGCTTCTAATCCTCCATAGTATCTCTCAACGCCAATTTCGAAAGCTTGGCGTCCATGCAGCTGCGAAAATTGTCCAGCACGTGGTACAAAACCGAAGCACGCTATTTTGCGCGCCCCTTGGAAAGCAATTTCGCGACCTTTCGTCTGGTAAGGCTTCTAATTATTGTCTTCGGTAGATTTACTAAATATGGCAGATCTTGATCGATGTCAAAAAAAGCGAAAAAGAGCCGACTCCAATGTAGGTTGTTTAAAAACACTCTATGCTCACATTAGCCGGTGCTAGTCTTATATTGCGGTCGCTAATATTGTCATTCGAGAAGCCCCAGGGCGAACTCGATGGTGAGCACAATTGTTGAATTGTGGGTGTTTTAACTCTCTTGGTGCTAAAATCCCGTGAAGCCCAACAACAGTCCCATATAAACAGCTCTGATAAAGAGCAACGAGGCTTTTTCTCGAGTTATACGCAAGCTGAATCACATGAGACTACAATGGTAGAGGACGATAATGGCTTGGAAGAAAACAATCACCTGGGTCTGACCTGCTCACAAGAGTCGAATAATATTCATCAGGCGTTCGAATCTCAGAAGGGCATGGTGGTTGCTGCAACCTGTGATGCGACATCCACCATGCTGCAACCTAATGCCCTCCAAGTGGGCAATGATAACTATCAGCTCCACAGGTTGCACGACCAATCACATCTAAACCCTTCATCAGTCTACATCTCGGAATCAACCAGATCCCCACCTTTCGCTTTCCCATGTGGTAAGTACACCATTATCACTTTGTACCAAACATATTTGACAAAACCAGGTTTAGCAACCACCCCCTGTACAGGTATCTTGATCGAGGATACTTTTAACCGAAATTCCACGTTGATTTTCGAGAGGCCATATGAATCGGCAATATTTGCTGTAGTACAAGACGGAGATATTCCGGCACTTATGGCTCTTCTAAGAAGCGGGAACGCATCGATTCATGATGTAGACCCCTATGGTCTTGGGCTGCTCTACGTGAGGCTTTTTCTTTATTCGTTGTATCTAAATCGTTAATTTGACGCTAACAAAATAATCAGTATGCGTCATACTACTGCTGGAAAGCCCACGGCCCTGACAGAGCCATGTAAATTTGCTCCTGGTTGGTTTCAATTGGGGTAAATACTCAGTGGATTGACGATATCGGGAAGTAGGTTTCGTTCCTCCCGACGATTCTAGCGCGACTTCTCTGACCCTGCTTTTGTAGTAGCCCGATGGAATCAATGCTTGATTCTGCCTTAATATGTACCGCAATGTCAGGTGGTTCTGCGCTGGAATTTGGCAAATTTTGTGAGGATATTGGGGTTCTTTTTAATTTGACCCTTAGCGAAAGTGGGACGTAGTATTTGAACACTCGAGGGTTTACAGAACTTCACCAAGTTCTACTGCGTATAAACCAGGAAGTATCCCTAGAGGACTATCTCAACTCATTGGAACGAAATGATCTCGATACCCTTATCAATTGCATTGATATTCGTGGCAGAACACCGCTTATGTGGGCTGTCGAGTTTGGCTGGTCTGGTGTAACGCAGATCCTATTGGACTATGGTGCTGATCCCTATCGAGCTACTACCACTAAGCGAGGAAGCTCTACTTTACTGCACCTTGCAGTTGCCGGGCCGAGGTCGCAATTCTTGAGAGCGGGGTTTCTAGAGGTCATTGAGCATTTGCTTCAAAGGGGAGTTGATGTCAATGCTAAGGATCATGAAGGATGGACGCCACTCCACATTGCAGCGTCATGGGGAACATGTGATCTCCGAAGTCTCTTCAGCTACCCTGCCTTGGACTGGAGCGTTCTTACCGATGATAATATGTCTGTAGATGCTTTGTCTCCAGTCGAGCAATATTCTAATTTCACACTAGCTAGAATTTACCAGAGCTAGTAGACTGAAGCTTCCCTCGGGACAGCTGTTTATATACATTTTGAGAATATTGAAGCCCCTTTCTGATAATATGTCTTTATCATCTTCTACATTACCTCGGTATATTGGCCTAGTTCTGTCTCCATCTAACTCGTAAAGACAACCTAAACGCCTGACCAGGTATATATAGTGATGGTCGATTTCAGTATCAGCAGCAGGAGGCTCTGAAGAGCCATTTAACGCAGCATTGCGATAGATCAAATCCAATTTATGTGAATTTTGTAGATAATTGGTACGGTCGGCTGGTTTTTCTTTTATAAAACTATCAATGAAGGAGCCTGGATCTATTATTTTCAGTTGATATTATATGCCACGCGGGGTGAAGCATAATGTCCTACCGATTTCTTTGGTGTCTAAAGTGTTGCAAACGCAATGCAATATAGCATAAGACCGCAGGTATTGTTTATAGTCTGTTTCAGCCAGAGGATGCCTTCTTTGGGAATGCTGTGTTCGATTCTCTGCTCTGCATACGCAGGGTAGTTAGGTAATATAAGGATCAAGGCTTCGACGGGATTTTGGATACCAAAACGAATGTTATCCAGTTGATCTGCTTCCAGAGACCAAATATTAATAAATTTGAAAATCTGAGGAATACCCATGTTGTGCATCAAATTCGTGAAGATTTGAGGATCGGATTCCAGAGGAATGAAGTGTTTTTCGTACTCCATTTTGAGTCGCTGAAACTTGGTCGTGGAATATCAAGCTTGATGGAATTTATCGTAGCTCTTGCCGTTGGCAAGCTCGTTATTTGAGAATCAAGTGGTAAAGCGGGGTAAAGGGTTGAGTTGTACCACAAGGCAACGCACACCTAAAGGCTAACATTCGTACATATCACGTGATAGTTAGTTAGTTTGTTTACTTTCTGTATCGCACGTTTCATTGAACACCGCATCTCGTCAACATAACGACCTGCAAAACGGTAGAGTTATCTTAGCGAAACCTGCTGACTTATCGGTTGCCTGCTTGAATCACTGAGAAGCTGCAATCATCTCTGCCTAAACTTTATGTTTCTTCTTTAATGAGGGCACACGTCTATCTATATCCCAGAACCCTGATATTGTCCCTTCTGACTTATCTCTCTCTAAAACTGGGAAATGTTGAACTGGTGGGCTGTGATCCCACTGCTCATATCAGTTACAGCTGGCTGGCTAGGCTATCAAATTAAGCCGGAGGGTTCCGCCCCTCAAATTCCACCCACAATGCCCCAGGACGCGCTCCAGGAACTGCTCCAAGAAGTGAGCAGCGAATGGACTACCCCTCAGGATCGGTTTCTAGGAGAGCCGCAGTTCTGGATATATTATTCGTCTGGTCCTGGCGTGACTGTCAAAGGATGGCCCTCCCAAGGCGGAATCTATACGCTTGATGTCTCTAGCCGAGTGGAGATAGAGTTCTTGGAATTGGACCCATTCAACAATACAAGGCGTCCAACAAATTCCGATCCCAACTGGCAACAAAAGGAGAATGCACATTGCGATCGTAGTAAGTTACATCAAACAATACCTTTATTAGAACGCTATATATTTCTAACTCCTAATAGTGCGATATCTTAGCCCGACATGGTGGCCAACCGAATTGGCATGGCTTGAAAGTGGAATGTCCGGCATGCTTGATGAAAGGTCTAACAATTATGTTCGGGTCGGTTGGACTCCGGATGGTGGGGCGTGGGTTTGGAAGACAACAAAAGAGGGCGCTAGTAAGAAAGGTGGAGCAATGCTACAAAATGCCCGTACCATGGAGGAGCGTTGCTTGGTGATTGAAAGGCTAGGAGGAACTTTCTACGCCAACCCGAAATATTGCCCTTTTCTTGACCTTCCTTGACGGGTGGTTGTTTGATTTTCGGTCAGAGTGTATGCTGCCGCGGGTGTCTTCTATCAAAGACATATTACCTAACTACTGTTGATTTTTTAGTCAAGAATGTAGTGATTTCATATGATCTATTTCATATTGAGGCCTTAGATCCTTTAGTATCTAATCTCCGGCTCGACCCTACCGGTCCAAGTTCCGTTTTGGTACTAGTGCTTTTAGTTCGTATTTACTAAAATTATAACCCTTCTTCCCTGCATGTTACAAAGTATGCACACATTTACATGAAAAATTATGTACGTAAAATCAGGTAAAACAGTTTTTAATTGTGAGTTACTATGCAATTGGTGAATACTGGCTAGGGAACTCCTATACGTGTATCTGGAAATACTACATCACATCAAATCCAGACACAGTTAGCCTCAAGTGTGGGTACCTCCCAGAGTATACAGGCCGTACTAGGGCGTACAAAGCCTACATGTATCTTGCCCTTACACTAGCCCATGCCCCACTCTATCGACTTGACTCCAGCAAGCGAAATGAAGGGACTAGTGAACACGCCACAGGGTTACTTCCAGGAGCGGGTTTCAGGAGCTATTCGCAGCCTTCGATATAGAGTAGTAGCATCTGCAAAAGGAAAATATAAATATCTAGTCCTTCTCTTCGAAAGGCCATGCTCTACTTGGTCAGAGTCTCAGCACCATGAAGAATCTGCTTCCAAGTCTGGCCTTGGGGGCTCTGCTTTTGGCTCCAGACGGAGTCATAGCAGCAGCCTTCGACTCCCAGATCCAACGATGCCCACAGTCTTGCTCTATCTCTGGTGCTCAGGTGAGTGACTGGACTTCTTACCATTCGCTTGACCGCCTCGATATCTGTCTATCCCCAGTCCTATTCAGCTTCAACATTCACAATGACTTGGATAATCATCAGGTTATCAAAGCCTGTACCGCCGGCGACGCTTCAAGCAACGGCACTGTGTCTTCTACATGCTCCTCTATGACTTCTTTTTCCGAGAACTTGCGTTTGGCCTGGGACTCAAAAGACCCTGATTCTGCTTCATCTTCCGCGATCTCTCAGGTCTTGCTCGCATTGCAAAGCCAAGTCGAGAATGATCCCAGCTGTGGAAATTCGACAATACTGTTTGCCCATTACGAGGGTTTTGTTGCCGCCTTGTACATTGGTGCTGCCTTCGATAGTCTCACAGCGACACGCAATCTTATATCTCAGGTGTCCAGCAATCAGGAATCCATTGCTGGCGGCACCTTCAGCGCTCAAGTTTGTGGAAGTACCCGAGATGCATCACGGACAAATGGGTTGATGATATCGGAGCAAAATGAATATCGAACTGTTCAGTCAGCCGTACAAAGTTGGTCAAATGCTACGTGCGTTGAGGAGTTCACCAACACCGATGTTGTTAGCGACGTAAAATTTCGACAGTCGCCCAGACAGAATATCACAACCATCAATGGTAAGAGAGTACAAAAGAGGGCCGATGCTTGCTCTTACACGACTGTTGTTTCTGGGGATGGTTGCGCTAGCCTGGCCTCCAGATGTGGTATCACTGCTGCTCAGCTGTCCACATACAATCCAAGCTCGACACTTTGCTCTTCCTTGGCCGTTGGTGAAATCATTTGCTGCAGTGAAGGTTCAGTACCAGACCTGTCACCTCAGCCCTCTTCAGATGGAACTTGCTACAGCTACACTGTCAAGAGTGGTGATGACTGCCCCGACCTCGCGACAACTTGGCACACCACTCAAGACAAAATTGAGAGCTACAACAAAGACACCTGGGGCTGGATGGGATGTGCTAATCTACAAGCAGAATCTACTATCTGTTTGAGCTCTGGAGAACCCCCAATGCCAGGGGGTCTTGACTTACGAATCCAGATAAGAACGGGGAGATCCCGCGCACTTAGTGACGCGAAAACGTTCAGGTATAAGCAATCCTCGTCACCTAAGTCCGAGTTAAATCCATAGACTTTAGGAAGCTGAGCGGCGCCTGACTAAGGACAGAGTGGCGGCTGATGAGTTGCACGAATGATAGTGGTCCGGTTGATAACAGGAGGCTGCGGAGCTTGCCATCGCATTCGTCCTACCGGAGGGGTCGCATATCGAATCCTGGCAACAAGTAGGAATGGGTCAGTATTCTGTGGAATTCTTGAGGTAAGCGTAATCAGCGACCTACCCCAAAAAAACATTCAGCCTCGACGTGCTGTTGTAATATCCTTGATATTGTGCGTATCCTAGATCAACCACAGGATTGTCTGCTTGTAGATGTGCTCCCAAGCAAGCCGTGGTACATATCAAAATCGTAAAAAGAGTGCTGCGGGGAAAATGAATAAATTCATGCCGAAATTGTGCTGCCAATGACCCAAAAATAAGCAACCAAAATGCCAACGAGAAACGTGCAAATTCAGAAGGAAAACTTCTGGGTGCTGTCGCTTTTATCTGACAGTGTGTGCCAAAAACAGATCCGCCATTTTGCAACGCTGTCAACGCAGTACAAACCTTCTCACCTATTTACGCAAAGCTGACTTTTAGTGAAAAAAAGTGTGACATGACTAGCGACCTAGGTCCAGGTGTTGATGTTAAAGCTCTTTGCTGAAATGAACTTTGTGTTGAGGTCAAATTGACGTTAAGGTTGAATCGCGCATGCTGCCTCAAAAACTTTACGCAAAAGACTTACGGCGGAGATGGGGTTGATAAATGAAGACTAACGTCAGGTCTTTGTACCTGCTCTTGTATATAAGAAGCTCAGTTCCCTCATCGATAGGAGTTTCTATTCACCCAGATGACCTGACGTTCTAAGTTTAATTCATTGGAAGTGCACGCCTAGAAGTATGAGCGCCAGCAAGCATAATCGCAGACCTCCTACCATATAGGTCAGTAAAGCACCGCCCCTTCAAGCTGATTCAGTCTCCGAGACATCTACAGTGGATCAAGCTTTCCCGAAGCCGTTGAGAACCAAAGAGAAGACGGCAACGCTTGATAACGAGAAATATCGCTCGAGTTCGGGAGCCTTGCATGAAGATCCATGGAGCATACTTGAGCCCATTGCAAATATCAAATTGGATCATCCATATGTGCTGGCTCGATACAAGGAAGACAAAGGCAGACTTGTCCAAGTGCAGAAACTGGAGCTGCAAGCATTCTCCGACCTTGGATTGCAACGAACGCTGAATCGCATCTCTCACCCCATTTTCCGGTCATTACTTGGATGCTATCATCATGATGATTCGGTGTTTTTGGCCTAGGAGCATGTAGAAGTTTCCGTCACTCAGATTCTGGCAACGAAGCTCGTGATCACGGCGAGTGAGATCATTACAATTGTCAAGCCAGTAAGTAGAGTTACATATTATATCACAATACGAGCGATCGCTGATTATGAACAGATACTCGAAGGAATTCAGTACCTGGCTGAATGCGGGAGGGTACTGGCCACTTTGACAATGAATACCATCTTTTTCACTCAGTCTGGCAAGGTCAAGATAGGTACGCATATCAAATTAACCCCAGTTTTCAGACTTCTTACTAACCGTTCCATTCACCAGTGGGTATCGAGGACAGCTGCGAGATAAGTGCTTGGGAAATGGATGCTGCGACAATGAAGCTGTACGCTTTAGCGGATATTGTAATCAAGCTGATGGGTAAATGCCATTCGACGCATAAGTGGCCTGTCGAGATTGAAAATCTGCCTGATCAGCTTAGAAAACGCCCTTTGAGAGAGATCCTGCAGGTGATTGCCCCCCTCCTCTTCAATGTATCAAGGCTGATGTCCCAGACAACCCCTTTTCAGCAAAGGCCAAGTCCAGAAGAGTTGAAATCGCTTATCAACTTGACGAATACAATCGTGTATCACCGAATCGAAACTCATTCTCATCGTATATAAGAACATCATTCTCCAATGCGACCCATCCAGCCCGTCGATGATAGGCAGCTTTTTGAATACAAAAAGATGAGCAGCATGTCTGGTTGCTCAGTAAGGATGGCGATGCCTATCGTAATTGGACAACTTTTCTTTCGATTTCTCTAGCGGCAAGCTGCTTACATTGCAATCATAACACAAATGTTAGAAAATTTTCCGGTTCATTTTCGGTTTCTATTCAAAACTTGAGGGTATCAAATTTCAGACAATTGACGTCAAAGTTCAGCTCTGAGTCCCGTCCCTAGTGTACACAGGAGTCTGAATGTGTAAATTGTACGCCACGACAATTGAGAAGTTACTCTGGTGGAAATTAAGTATAAAGAATTAGTCGCAAGACAAGTTCAATAACAGACGTTCATCCAATCATCGAGTTATCGTGTACATTCAAGTCCAGGTACTGTACACGTTGCTTTTACGTGCAAAACCTTTCGAGGAGCATTTGGCACTCTTTCGAAGCTTCGGAAATTAGACTTTTATTCTGACGGATTCCGTCTGTTCTAGTCAGCAAATGGCTATCAATATCAAACCAATCTTGACCTATTGATGTACAGAGAATCTCGAAAATAGATTACCCCCCGGACACACACGCTTTCTTTCCAAGTCCCTTACAAATCTTGCGTTAGGATTATTCTGGCTATATAAAGCCCCTTCCCGTGGGAATCACGTCTTACTATTGGCTACGGGACAATCTAGAGCCCGGCCGACTCGGACTAGGGGCCAAAGTGAGTCTCTGGATATTAAACGTGTGTGTCTGGAGGAAAATCTGTTTTCGAAATCCACTGTAAGTACGGCGGCTCTTCTATCTTCATCCCAATTTTCGCAGAGTGGCATTGTCTGTGCGATTAACTCGTTTGTGGCTGGGTTATTCTACAAATTTTGTTGCATCCTTTTATGATACTTGTTATCAATGAATTACCATTGCCAAAAAGCAGTCGTAATGCAACAGAATACAGTACCGAACTCGAGAATTTGAAACTCCAAAGTATGGCGAAGACCTTTTCAATGATTTATCAAATTTTCACGCATATTTCAATCCCCGATGCTTTGCTCAATCAATGACCTTCATGTTAAACCACTTGTCCAGTTTAAATGTGCCGCGAATGCCAAAGATAGGTATCATTGATGGCTTGTATTGCGGCGGGAAGCACGACAGGAGCAAGGTAACGGCTGAATGCTAACTGGAGAAGTGGACGGGGAGTATGAAATAGCCTTCCAATGATTGCCCTTTTCAAGATCTGGAACAATCGGGTCCATGGCTGCTGAATCACCAAATTCAGGAGTTCCGGTGCATACTGGTTGACCTTCGGGAAGAATATTACGCGCCAGACCATTGAGTTCAACATTCTTGTATCATTGAACTGATTAATTTAGTGATTCTATTGATTGATCGTTCGTTAGTGAGCGAGCCTATGACGCGCTAGTTTAGATAAATGAGGGCTTGTGTCGATTTAAGATATCTTTTGGCGGCCACTTAAGCAATACAGAGGCAAATTTCCAGCCACTAGGCGTGCGAGTCTTTAAATATTACTGCTGTCAAATTGGCGATAAAGATTTCAAAAAATGTTAGATCCGATCTGAAATACAGGACTTTCATGTCTCTCGAGTCTCATTAGATAATATTCCTTACCAAAATCCTGCTGTCTTCGTCAGTGCCAGTGTTTAGACATTATCGCTCGTAGTAAGCGCTTACTTCAGATCACAACCGAATCATGGTAGAAGCAGTCGCCAAAGAGCATAAGGAAGAAGAGAAACATCTCAAAGAACAAGCGTAAGTATGCTTCTGATTGAGTTGCAAATATTCACCTCACCTTTCGCATAAAAAAAAAGTAGCCAAACATAAATCATGACCTCTACTTCAGAAGGCTGGCCACTTTCAGAAGACTGGTTGGGATGTCGCTCCTTTCGCCAATCGAATCAAAGCGTACAAGAGCACGCACCATATCTCTAGGAGTTTGGATCCTATTCTATTAATGGCTCTAAGGAGAAGAATGGCCCTTAGGGCTTTTGTTCATTCTAGAACTTTCATCCAGGATGTACAAAGCAGAGACATTCAGCGTACAGAGCTTGCGACAGAAGAAGTTCCTATTATACTTGCCTCTTCCCCAAGAATCGACTTTCATATACTAGCTGTAGGCAATTTACAATTCAGCCTTGACTCTGAGATATTCAAGTACCTACTGCGTGCGACGGTAACTTGGTCTGGTTATAATTCGCTATTATATACGCTTCTTCCATCGTTGCAGATACATGACTTGATGTAGAAAGTACAGGTAGCATTCTCACATGTAGATTACTACCAGCGATCCGAAGTTGTGGGATTTCTAGGCGCCTGGTGCATGCCAGAAGAACTAGCCAAGACTTCCGTAAGTGAATTTCACGTAAATTACATAGAATCATATAGCATTATCGTAATGTAAGTTACGAATGCGGTCAAAGAAGCGGTCTGTGGAGCGGTCTTAAGAGCGGTTCTGTGAGCGGCTTGACTTAAGGCGGCCCCAGGGGCGGTCATCAAGGCGGTCTTAGAAGCGGTCCTCGGTCAACCCAAAATGAGAGCGGTCCCAAGAGCGGTCCCGAGAGCGGCATAAAAAGCGGTTTGGAAGCGTGTCTCAACTGAAGGCGGAGCTTACAGAACGATGTATTGGGGCGCTAAACTAAAAGAGGCAAAACTAACCGCATATAGTAATTCACAGGTCCGCCGTTTACATGATACATATCATATGCCTAGCTTGACTCCGGAGGCACAGAGAGATTCTGATGCAGCTCCTTTCGCTGCACAGCACCAAAGCGAAGATTGCCGGCATCGAAGACCTGTAATTATCGTTAGCTTGTGCGATTGTAAACTCCAAGAATATGTCACTCACTGCATAGATAGCCTTCAGGAAAGTATCTCCCAGGATGTCCATGGTCATAGTGCCACGACTCTGGATGCCTCCGTAGACATAACCAGACTTGGCCTCAGCAAATCCAAGATCTTCCTTTTGCACAACAAACTGCGTATCACCAACAGCAAAAGATATAACAGGCAACTTATTAGCCGGTGTGTTGGATGGGAAGATCCATCCCTGGCTCTCATTGTCATACTCTGCCCCCGGGATAGCATCATAAATGGCCTGACAAGTCTCATCGTCCACCAACGCCAAGGTAGTTCCTGTATCCGCAATAGCCTTGTTTCCAGCCCGGGCAATCGACTTCCCATTCACCGTCGCCGAGGCAGAATCGAACATCCAGAATCCCTGACTGTTATCGACGGGAGTGTAGTAGATCTCTGCTTCGGCGGCCTTCACCGTGTCCTGATCAATATAACCGAAAGTATAGAACGACTCGCCCTTATCCGGCTCATCAGAGTCTCTCCACGACCCCAACTTCGCGGTGAAGAGCTCAGCCGACTTCGGGATATCGGTCTGCGAAATCATATTCTCCACAGGCGTGCTGACGGGCTCGGGCTTGACGGTATTGATATTACCGAACGCAAGTCCCAGCAACCCATCGCCAGCACCTTGTTCAAATTGCTCGGACAATAAATCAGCGATCTCAACGGCCTGGCCTTTGACCACCAGCCCACCGATATTGACATTATCGTTGCCGACCGAGCCAGAGGCAGAAGAGCCATCACCGTACTTGATCTGCCACGATGAGCCTTCTTTCTCTTTGTACGTGCTCGACTTGGTCGGATCGAAGATTGTATGGTTTTTGTACGCCGACAAAGTCTTAGACGGCAACTCCGTGGACCAAACCTAGACAATCTTAGCAACGTTCATATCGCACGGAGAAGAACGAAAGAAATCCACTTACCCACAGATCCGCAGATCCGGTATCGAAGTCCAAACTGAGCGTCTGGGCAGGTGTGCCAATAGCAACTTGTGCAAGATACATCGAATCATTCTGCACGTCGTTGGCACTCACTTGCCCAACCTGATCGCTAGTAGCATCCTTCTTCTGCAGCACCTGCTGCAACCGAGCACGGCCTCCCACGGGCTTATTGGTGTACTGTCGGCCACTTTGCACCATCCTGGTACCGAGAAAATACGGGCCTTCCTTAGTCGGCGTGAAGTGATACTTGCGCATAGCATACAAGTACGACTTCGTGCCGGACTTCTGGTAGTGCGGGTTCGCGATGAGGTTGATTCTAGGCATGGTGGGGGACTTGGATAGTTTTGATTTGAGAAATTTGAGCATGGATGGCTAGAGCGCGGGGTCTCCCTAAGTATTTATACTATAGGATGTTATCATGCAATGAACTGGGGCTTGAAACAAGCGTCGTCATGGCTTTTAAGTATTGCGACGTTTAGAGAGGAGGCTAGTCATTTTTTGGATGGAAACCAAGTCTAGAAACCTGAATTTCCGTCATTGCAGGCGACTCAGGGTTAGTGTTGTTTCAGCAGCGTGATATGGCGCCAGGGTGGCATCCGATCTGCACGGCGTTGCGGACTCCGGTCAGGCGGGGGTTTTCGGAATATGCAGGGATTATACAGGAAAATACACGATAAGCCTTTGCAAGTAGAACAAGTAACTCTATTTCAATTACAAAAGTACATTAAAACATCATCTGCGCCGATCCCTAACAAAACCGTCCCTAATACCCGAATCACCAATAACAACCGTAGCAAACTAGCAACGTACACACCCGTGGACACTCAATCCACACGATTATCTCCTGCGAGTCTTAGACTTAGTTGCGGGAGCACTGGGGGCCCGGGAGCTGGTGGCAGAAGCAGTCTTGCTACCACCCTTGACGGCCTTGACCTGTTTGGTCGGCTGTGAAAGAAGTTAGAACCCAAAATAATAGATAAATCGATCAGACAAAACTTACAGCAGCCCCGTTCTTAGCCTTCTTCTTGGCAGGGGGCGCTTCTTCTATCTCTTCCTCCTCATCACGATCACGACCACGGCCCTTGCCCTCACTGGGGTCGAACTCCTTCGCCACAGTGTTCAGAAGAGTAGTGCAGCGGCGACCAATTTCCACG